AGGTGCTCCAGCCCTCACATCTGCTTGCCCTCTTCTTAGCGCTCCTTAACCATCCTTTTATGACCACCACTGGTAACTGATTCCTTAAACCTCTGGTTTAAGACATCCCAACACTTGAGAAACAGTGAAAGGTGTAGAAACCTAGGCTTACTTCTAACTGCCAAATAACACATTTTCAAATTCACATCCCTGCAAGCATAGCACATTAAATGCTTGTTTCTATTACTACTGACTGATAAAAGACCATTTTCCTTTCATCGTAGCTCCATGGATAACAGTTGTTCTCATTTGTGTACTCTGTAGTTCTTTTATTTCTAAGAACTGACCCTGAAGCATGTCCCACCTATCTATGTATTTGTGACTAATCTTTCATATCTTATGTAAAAAAAAATTAAAGGGAATTTCTCTTCAGTCCTCAGCTTAGATTTAATGCAAAATGAAATCCCCAAGGGAAAACTTAGTCCAAAAACTTCCCCTGACTTGCAATGCATCGTTCTTTGTCACAAACAAAACCTGAATCAAGGGATTTACATGCTTGAGCATCTTTAGGACTCTGTTGATTTATTTGAGCTTAGGATTCACCATACACAGTGGAAACTCTGAACACAGAGTTTATGATTAAGAGCCTTTCTGAAAGTATAAAGGATTTTCACAGTTCTCTTTCTTCTCATGTAGCCATCCAAAGCACTGCCTAACACTCATATACTCTCCTGCTGTTTCATACAACCTTGGCTCTGGCTCAAAAAAAAACCTAAAATCATATTGCTTCTTTTCCAAATACTTTTGATTACTTCTTGAGATAACGCCTTTCCTTCACCTTTGTTTAGGAGATAAACAACATCCTTTGTGATGTTTCTGGGTGAGTTTTCAGTTATTGCAGCCCAAATTAGACCTCTCTTGGTCTTTGGTCCTCATGTAACACATATACATCTGACATTTGTGAAATGGATGACAGGGAAAGCCAGGTAAGAGCTTTCCTTTCTCTCTTATTAGTATACATTTTTCTACAACTATTTACATTTTATCAGCATTTTCTCATTAAACATTCTCAATTTAAAGAGATTTCACAAACAAAATTAACATACTCAACCCTAAAAAAAATATAAAGTTTAGCCAATTCAGATGAAATAAAGTAACAATTATCATGTGGCCTTAAATAGATTACCTGAGGAATATTAGTCCTTGTTGAAGTCAACAACAAGTTAACAAGTTCCTTACGGTTACCAGCAAGAGTATTACTGACATCATCTCTCCATCAAAAGAATATGATGTCTTTTGGATTGAAACCCAGGTAGCCATACAGGTACTGCACCAAAATCACAAAACACCTTCCAAGTCACTTTTAAACCAGGTCAGTCTTTTAAGACTCCGTTTAGATTTTGCTATTTTGTCTTCACTTGCAGAAAAGAGGGTTAAGTCTGTTCTTAGCAAAGATTTTTGGCATGATCTTCCAGACATGCTGCCATATGCCAAAAAAGAAGGGGAATATAGTCACCCCCAGCTTCGACTTTAACTGGAGCTGCTTTGTTTTGAGTGCCCTGAATAATTAATAACTACTTTGGCAATCAGTCATGCATTCCTTAATGGCACCTCAGGCATCAAGTATCCCATTCACCCGCTCCCCCAAGTAACAATGGGCTTTATTACATCAAGTTTTCTATGCCAAACGTGTAACTGACATAATTTAAACTAAACAAGTCTCCAGAAAGACTGAAGCCCTAACGCGTGTTGTAGGAGTTCATGAGGTTTCCTCTCAATTGCATATGGCTACTATATGGATTAGACCTGTAACTGGGGGCAAGTGAGAAGGGGGGGAAAAGGAATGAAAAATGGATTGCTTTTGCAGTATATTTCTAGGTGGTTTTGGATTATATAACACTGACAAATACATGACTTTTAATAAACGCACAGCTGAGCAGTCAAAATGCAGAACAACCACTAAACAGCCCTTAGTGAATAATGCAGCTCACCAGTAAGCACTAAGTGACAGGGTATAGCATGAAAAGAGTGCCTAAGAATAACAATTCTGCTGAAAGTAGCAGGAGAATTCTGAAATAACACAAGCTAAATTTTCTTAGCAAAAATAAGCTTTTTCAACACTTCCTTGCACTTTACAGTGTTCCAATTAACTTGCAACAAAAGAACAAAGTTAAAATAAAGAGTTAAACCAAAATTAGTGAACGTTCTTCTAAAATGTACCCATGATACACAATTTAAAATGGAAGAAAATAAAATAATTAAACTGCAATTATCTAGATCCTCAAGAAAAGCTGTGTGGTTGGCTCAGGAAACGTTCTGCTTGTATACAGCATACCCACGGCTTTTAAGCAGTGCCTTGCAATACTGTGTTAAATGTTTCTGTAAAGCTACGTTGCACTGAATGCCATTGGAACTGCTGGTAGTACTTTTGTGTGGCTAAATCCTAGGAGTAAGGTAATCAGATCAATAGCCATTCTCCTTCTACTTATTAATCATAGGAAAAGTTAGTTTGAAATATAATATACAAAGTTAAAAATATATATATACAATAAATTACAGGAGGCTTAAACAAAGCTATTTCTCTTGCTCTTTAAAAGACCTGAAAATGTGTCCAGTGCCCTTCTCCGTGTGTGGCCTCCAAATACAGAAACAAGCTTGCACTGTTTTATTTCAGTTTTGCTTCATTTCTCCCCAAACAATCTCTCATTGCTAGTCTACCAGGCATCTCCCCCTCCCCCTTTTCTTAAAAAATGAAAAAAAAAAAAAAAAAATTAACTGTTTAGGACCAATTCATAAAAGTGAATCACTAAGCAAATCAGTGATGTTTTTTGCAAAAATCAGTTAGAAATTCCTGTAGCCTGGACATTTTTCACATGAAGCTGTAAATTTTAATTTATCTTGAAATGTAGGATGATATAGCATTAGGTATATATGCATAAATGAATAAGGAGAGAGAGACAGAGAGAGACAGAGAGAGAACATTCAATTTTCTATTGCTTGAAAACCAGAAGCAGGTCTAATCCTGCAATTTATCAATAAGGATTGCATTTACAATCTATACAGTTAATTATGCAGTCTGAAATGTGAAACTGTATTTTCCATGGCTTATTAAAATGGATTTTTTTTTGAAGAAAAGTCTCTCTATTAGAAACTTGGAAAGTCATTCTCAGAAACCTTTGAACAGTTGCTATACCAGGCGTTTTGAAGCGAGCTCTGCATTCCTGTGACATGGTGGGGATTGCTCTTTCCTCTTACACACGTGACAGATAAAATAGCTTGTTTTCTGAAACAGGTTGTATGCATACGTCTTAGGCATATAAACTTTATTAATGGAGGAAAAGAAGGACTAAAATAAGGCATAAAACAATGTCAGGAGTCTCTGTTTTTGTCTACATAACAAATGTTCATGGTTAGTGATCTAAATATTCTGAAAATTAGCGATTACTTTTGCGAGCGTTAATAATTTAAAAGTTTTCCCCATAAAGTATATAGGAATAAATCCAGCCCAGCAACACATGAATATAATTGTATGTATATTCTGGTAGTTTAAACCATTGCAGAAAAATTTGATCAAACGTAAGTAAGATAAACATGTAGCAGGTAGGATGCAATACTAGAGCAACTGCAATGAAATCTGGCATCAGCTCACACAACATCTATTTAGGGATCTTCTTTTACTATTTTCTAAAAGTAAACATACTCATTACCTTCTGCCCTTTGGTATAAAAAGTTTAAACCTGGCCATATTCCAAGATGGTTTGGAGACAGACTGACATGTTATTTGATTTCAAAATTCATTCGTCTAACTTACAAAAGAGTCAAACAGACTTGCCCTCAGTCATTTTAGAAATATTACATAGGCCTAAATAAATATTTACCAATACTGAGAGGCATACAACAGGAAACAGCATGTATATATATACAATACTGCACTTAAATGACTTCACTACCAGTGTACTAAACACATAAGGGAGGAGATGAGGTGTTAGCAAAAGATGCACAGAATTAGTCTTCGATTCTCCTCAATAAATGGAGTTTTGTGAAGGAGGACAACAGGAAAAAATGGAAAAAGAAGTCAAGTAAGCCAAATGCATCGACTGAAGTGCATGTCAGCAGGCTTACAACATGGATTCTTTTGATCAGTTTTTTATTGAGCTTGCAGCTGTTTTACACTAACCAAATACCACAAACCACAAGATGACTGAGGAGATTCACTAAGTGAATTACAAAGGTTGCAACAAAAATATTCCTTACTCTCTTTAAATATGGAATATCTATTCTAAAACAAGCCAACTTCTGTTCCACTCAATCCTGAATTTCAGAACATTATCTCATCCCTAAAAGCTTATAAATGTTGTTTTGCTAGCACAGATCTTTCGCTTGTTCAAAAAAAGTAATAGAAATCTGTTGATGATGAAAGCAGCCATTCTTCAGACAATTATTGTTTAGTACCTGTGAGTTACAAGTGTTAAACAAAATTAAGAGAAGTCTAAAGTGCATTTTCCAGGAAAAATGCAGTGAAAAATGAGTATCATGCATCATCTGCTTTGCCACTATAATAAAACAATTCAGAATAAGAACTCCTTTTTTTTGAACTAGGTGTAATCATCCAGCTCTGCATGGAGTAGCTGACTTAGAAGAACGTAAGTTTCTTCAGTCTCACTTGTAATTACTCAATGCTCTTTACAGGTCATACAGCTGATTCTTATGCTGAATTTGTTCATCTCAAAGCAAGAAAAAATGGCTTTTTCACAGCACCGTAATAGGAATGCAAACATTTTATTTGAGTTTCCATATAAACAACTGAGCCATCAACTTTCCAATCCAAAGCCATCCAAGATCAACCACAAAAACACTCAGTTAGTTAAAGAGCAAAACGTGCAATTCTGGCAGACAAATTATTCATTATTATTATTACTAAGAAATAAACAGTAATCAACCCTAAACTACGCAAAGATTCTTTTGAGCTACCACTTCAAAGATGTTATTTTTCTGAAATGTTCCCGAAACACGTTACTTACTGGCACAAGAAGGGTGTAATGGATGCAGAATCCAGGTTGAGAAGGAAAATATTCATCAGACACAAATCTTATTCTGATCTGGTTTCCTTTGGAGATTTGTCTGCTTGGCACACTACTGGAACCGCACCAGCGCCCTAAGACAGTGCCATCACTAGGTTCTTCAACTTCTACAAAGTCATACCTGAACAGAAAAGAAAATTACATGTTTACTTACTGATAAATTTCTACAAACATCTAATTTTAATGCATAAACTGAATTTTTTATTATGTTTTTTTTTTATTATTATTTTTAAATGCTAAAAGTATACTACCAAAGTTAGCTCTTTTTAAAACAGCCTCCAACTTGCTACTGGCTTCAATACATAATAAAATCATGCAGTGAGGTTAAAGAAATAAGAGCAGAGTTAGCGTTTTGAATAGACCACAAGTATGACTTAGCCTGTTCCTCTTATGGGGAACAATTACAATATGCAGGATGGGGCAGAAAGAAGTCAGACAAAAAAAAACAAACAAACTAGAATTACCTATGTGTGGCACTGTAATATCATTGGAAATATATTGCATGTTGCCAGTGAAATTTCAGAGGCTTTTGGTAATGAAATCTTGCCCCCTTGTAATACCAGGGATGAGTAAGCTCCGGAAGGTTAAGGTGGTTTATGGAAACTTGGAAGCACATTTGGAGCTTATGCATATCCCAGTGAGACACTTGTTAAGCAAAAACATAAACGCACCATGTGTCAGAAAGAACCCGATACGTCGGTAATACTGACAGGAGATATATGAGTTGGGAGCTTTGAAAGAGCAGAACATAGGAGGTTTGATTTAGTTTCATTGGTTTTTAACGTGTGGTCTGGGTATCCGTGGGGATCCGTGAACAACTTCAAATAGGTCCGTGAAAGGTAACTAAGAAATGCCCATCAGTTGTCACCCATAAGCTTTAATACACCACACAAAGGTCCTTGCTTCCACTGGAGAATGTTTAGGGGGTTCTCAAGTCATAAAAACATTGAAAACCACCGCTCTAGAAGGCACGTCTGGTTTTAATATTTTAACCTGTTTCATGTCAATTCCCCAGCTGCCTACTGACAGAATAAACAGTAGGAATTTCTGTCGCTTTTCCCCTGCTGCAATGCTTGAAAACCTGTGAGCAGCAATGCTCCTGGGCTCAGAAAGGTAGGAGTACAACCCTCGGGCCCCAGCTGGTTTTGGGAAGCTTACTGCTGCCCCAGCCACTGCTCTGCTACATGACCACAGCACCTCTGCTCTCCTAAGCCCAGCCTGCACACACCTCTAGGAAAGCTTCAACAGTTCGGAGAGTGTTCTGCTCTCTTACAGCTAAAGTTGTAAACAAAATGTATTTCTCATAGAAGTCTAAGTTGGTAAATGTTACTGAATCCTTTTTCAAGGGTACAAACAGTCCTACTAGCCCCGATGACAGCAAATAACTGGATTTTAAAAAGGAAAACTCACTCTCACTCTGCCAAGAAAAATTTAATGTGAAAATTATTACCTCAAACATTTTCTACTGAAGCTTTTTCTCAATTTTTTTTTCAGTAAATCTAATCTTTATAATGACTCCCAGTTCCCTAGTTAGACAGCAGGTAATAAATTCTGGTGTTGCATGTTTGTGCAAGACTGACTTGCACATTTATTATCTCCATTTAAAGGACCAGTATTTTTTCCACTTAATTAGAAATGAATGCAATGAATATGCTCATTAACTGTGTTCAAAATGCATTACTACCATGTCCCATAGTTTTAAATCTTCGTTGAACTTATGATACTAATTACTTCCTCACCGTATTTTTTCCAGTGAAACACTAATTCCTTTAACTGATTCAAAGCTGCTTTAACTTTATGATCAGGCTTACAACTTACTACGAAGACAGCGTGTACATTAATTGCAGTAAGACTTCGAAGCTCACCATATTTACTAAATTGATTTTGAGCACTGAATTTTATCACACAAGGGCTGCTCTGGAAGTAATGCTCTTATTTTATTCTGCTGGCTCACAACATCAGAGGCGGATGTTGGTGGTACAGCAGTAGAGGCTGAACGTTCCCACCAATATTCCATTACATTGTGCTGCTGTGTGACAGATGGCAGCAGAGGGGCAGCCTGGGATGTGTCTGACATGGAAGTGTGTATGAAGCAAACGTGTGGCACTAAATTGCTCCACGTGGATAAAATGGCATCCACTAACATTCACCAGCACTTGCTAAATGTGGAGGTGAACACAGTGAGGCAGTGCGTGGTGTGTTTCAACAGTGATTGGATTACAGAATTTCCAATTTCCATCTTTTTATGTCTCCAGTAGGTAATTATCTGTCTGTTTTTTCTGATTTGTAAAGAGTTAATCATTTAATCATTATTTTAACAACTTCAGATGTTTGTAGGGGGCCAAATATAATACAGGCATTAGTACTTCTACCATAACATACACAGCACATTCTATTGCATCTTTCTTCTCATTGTACCCCTGAAGTAAAAGTGAAACAAATTTCACATCAACCAAAAAAAGCCCCTCACACAGTTCCTGGGCATGTTGACTGAAGACAGAACTTGCTGCAAAACACAACAAAGCAAACTCGTTCAGATGCTTTAAGCATTTACAAGACTGCACTGCACAATTCTGAGGGTTCTTGTCACAGGGCTAAAAACTGGCAGGGACAATATCACAGCCACCTAATTTCCCAGCAAGGGAAGCTTTTCCTTGTAAAGCAAGGAAACTTGGATAAATAACTAAGAATTGAGAAATAGAAACTTTTTTCTATTCACAACAGTGTTAATTTTTTTTTTTTTTTTAATGTTCATTTAACAAAATAATCCCTTTTGTGCAGTGTACAAACCAAAAATCACAACCCTCTGTGGCACAATGACTAAAGAAATGCTCATACATATCCACACTCAGTACTTTATTCAAAAACTACCAAAAGTTCTGACTAACAGATAGTCTCATCTCTTATCCAGGGACGAAAGGTGCATTTGCCTTTACTCAACAATTCCCTCTGTGCCTTCCCATATATAACGTGCAGAATACGTATTCCTCTTCCCTATGGCTAAGTGCCCAGGACTCTGAATTGAATTAACAACCTGAACAAAGGCAATTTATTTGAAAAGGACAAAGAGGTAATGTAAGGGACTCTGAACTTCAATACTTTTCAAACCAGGAAATGTATTCTCTAGGGAAATGTGTTTCCCTCTCCGTTCTCAATTTTTCTGTGGTTTACACCATTTGCTAAATATTTTCTGACAGGGTGTTTACCTTGGCTTACAGTTTTGTGACCTTCGTGTGGCTTCCCTCTGCTTTCAGAATCCCACAAATGTATCAATGAATGTAAGGAACAGAAATCCGCACGGTAAAATATTTTGTCATATTGGTGACACTGGATCTTTCCATCTCATATAGATGTATGCTAGACAAAAAGCTAGAACACTCGCCATGAGAAAAGTGAAATGCATTCTTCCTTCCCTCCTCTGATGAGCATTGACTTCATGTTCTTTTTCCATTAAGTGACATGAAGTTGACAGCAACCCCTGACATTTTTTCCCTGTGTGATGCTGCAGTATTTCTATTCCATTTTGTTGAAAAGCATTGGGAATCTCAAGGTTTTCCCTATGCTGGGGCAGCATACAAAAATGCCTAACTCAGACTTGAAACTAAAGCATCGAAGGTCCTCTGGCTGTTCACTAGACAACAGGTTACTGAATAGAATGTTGATGGTTTATACTCGGGCAGCTTCATTTTGGAAACAATAGAAATTACAAAGAACTGTCGTGCTGAAAATATTTGCTAAACAAAATTTCAAAAGGAGAGTTTTTTCTCCATCTTCCGTCAATATTTAAAGTCATTTACTTCTGAAATATTTAAAGTTCCTATGGAATAAAACTTTAGTTTCCATCATTCAAGTTAAACTGTATTGTTCTCCACACAGAAGTGTCAAGGCACTGACAATAACTCACCTCTTAGATCACTTAAATCACAGCTGAAAGTAATCATGTTGTTCTTTGTGAAATAAACACTATATTTAGAGAGGAAAAAGAGGCCAAGCATTTAGCTTGAAGAAGTTTTCTTTCAAAGTCTGTGTGCCTCACTTGTAACAAATTTTGGAAGTCATCCTCTATCAACAGAAATCTCCAGCAACACTTCAGTGGGAGAATTCACATTTATCTGAGTGGAAAAGGGAATACTGGAGCACAACAGAAGCACTCAAATCCATGGCACCTGATGGCAGAACCAATCTGTTTAAGTATCCTTGTTATTGCCTATAATCACAGGATGAGACATGGAGAATGCAAAATTCACAATGAAGAACGGAGAGAAAATGGAAGGATCCCAAGAGGGAAAAAAGCATAGAAGGACAGTGACACTCTGAATCAGAGAAATAAAAGTGCATTTCAGGCAAACTACAAACCTACTGGTGCAGCAGCACAGTTGTAGGAAGAGGAGCACACACTGCACCATTGATTCAACAGGAGAACTTCTTTTCTGTCACCTGTACTGTCCCTCCATCAAGACTAAAGGAAATGCTCCTCAAAGACTGACATGCAGATGAAGAAGATATCATGTGAAATTAAAATCAAAATACTAAAAGAAATTAAATAGTAGGTAATAATGAAATTGCAGGTACATGCACACTATTTTTCAAGTTGGGTAAGATGAAGTCTTAGTTTTGGTAATTTTTCTCCTCTGGTGTTGCCAAGCTGTACAACTGTTACACAAGTTTGCAAGCTCAGAATAGCTATTTAATTCCTTTCAAATGCATTCATTTATTTTATAGTATTCTGTATTTATTGCCAGTAAACTATATCCACCTGAACCTAGACTAGTAAAGACTGGCCCATCAGTTAAGCCCACCACTAACAAGTAGATAAAATGTTCCTGAAATCACAGACCTTGAACACTTCACATCCGTACAACTTTGCTGTTAGTAATTCAACCTGCCACCAAAGGTAAGGAAAAAAAACCCTCAAATGAGACAGAAAGCAAAGTTTCCTGGAAGAAAGGAAGGGAAAGGGGACCTTGGCTGAAATCTTGACCCTGTGGGCAGCACCAACAAATACTCATCAGAGGGAATGTTTTTAAACTGAAAGAGGGAAGATTTCGGTTAGATGTTAGGAAGAAATTCTTTACTCCAACTTGGTGAGGAACTGAACAGGTTGTCCAGAGAAGCCATGGA